TATCTTTATTTTGCATTGAGCTAGCATAAAATGTCAAAGCTTTTTATAATCGTCAAATGATTTTTTATAACATGTACTCGAGTCGACTCGAGTACTCCTGTTCCGTGAAAAACTGTGCTCTAGGGTGTTCTGCATTATTCGGGCTACCTCGACGATAAATATCGGCTTGGGCGCAGTGGCAAACCCGTGGCGAAGTGCATGTGCCCCGAGCACCAGGATGGGAATATTTACACGACGATTCGATTTATCGCGTACTTCGTCGGCCTTTTCCCCCCGTCCCGTGCCAAAATTGAAATATATTTCCCGCAAAGCCGTCCGATTTTATTGTCCAATTTCGTCGAACTTCGTCCCTCGATCGTTTTTCGTGATTTATCGCGGAAAATTGTAAATAAAATACTAATTTCTTTCAGATTTTTTTTCAAACGAAAATTACACCACTTATGTCGCGAATTATCCTTTAAATATTGGACGAACTAAATATATATAAGACAGTTATCTGTTAATCAAAAGGATTTTCAAAAGAACAAACCAGAAATTGTTTTCCTATAAACAGAGTTTATTTTCTTTATTATATTATTTTACAATTATTTACAATATGTACAGTCTCACCCGTAAACAGAGAAACGACATTTAAAGTTTATTGATTCTCTTCTTTGTTTTTCCCTTTACTTCTTTCTTTTACTTTAGTGATGCTCTCATACTTTTTATCTTTGCAAATGTGCGCTGATATCTCCGCCATCTATATTTTTCACAGCCGTTCTCTCTCAGATAAGACACTTTCTCACCACTCTACAATGTATGCTCTACAACCCGCGAAGCGCGGAAAAATTTGAATAAAGCAAATACCATTTCTTTATACATATACAAAAGAAGGTTCAGAATATATGTGAACACTTGGTATGCTTATCTGGAACATTTATTTGATCAAGGTTTCGACTCCTTGGTTTGAGTTAAAGCTTTTAAAAATAATACAACTTTTAATCAACGATAAAGTAACGAACAGGTGCAATGTTGCACAATGCACACGTTAAATTATTTCTAGCCGAGTGTGAACATTACTTTATTAGTAACGCGCCCACCGTTACGTACTTGTTTTGTGTTCAAGTTTTCGCGATTGAATTTCAAATAATCGACCAGTTCATACGCTATAAATGCTTTAGGTGGCCATCCATTTCCGTGAAATTAACTTTCAGTTGATTTAGGCGCTTCGCTACGCGTTGAATATTTCAGGTCTCCGGTAGATTTAAACCCGCGGCCATGTTTCAGAACAACTCAGATGCAATAGATAAAATCGAACGGAACAAACTTTTACCTGTAAAAGCTACGGCTATTTTCGTGACTTCTCCGCGATATAAATGATCCAGTTTAGAATAAGAAACTTCGAAATGTTAACCTCCAATCGACAGAATTAAATCAAACTGAATTAAAACCGATGTTGTCTTGAATAAGTAACATTCCTTGGATGAAATAAGTGTGTTAGAACTTCTTGGTATAGAAAGTTTTCAGTACCATACTCTAAGGCACAAATAAACTCTTCTAATAAAAGCCGTAAATTGAGAAACGCTGATCGATATTGTAAATAGGCCAAACTGTTCCTTTAAATTGTTCAAGAAGATTGGTTAAATTTGAGTAATATTTATCCAACGTTAAAATGATGAATAAATATTATATACGCTATGCAAATAAAGCAGCCAGATGCAAATAAGACAGCCACAGGGCTGTTAGAGGCCATGGGTCAGTTTGAATTTTCATTTATTTCCAACGAAATAATTAGACCCCCTGGTGGTAAAGATCAGTGAGAAACACCATTAGTAAAAAACTTCCCCAATTTTTCGACCTAAAACACGATTTATTATCTAAGAGTTCAATTTTACGATTTAACTAGACAGTGTAATGCTCACATTGCCGTAACTAAAATAGTAAGTGTTATTCGCATATCAGGCATGAGTCATTCGAGGAATTATTATTCTCAATAATGCACGTCCAAGGGACGGATGGGACAGGCGCGGGTACGCATTCATTCCCGTTTCACGGAAAGTTCTGTCTTCGCGCTATAGAGTCTCATGCAGGCGTTACTGTACAACGAAGCGTAATACATAACGCAATACCGCAAGGACGAGTATTGTCGGGGCGTATCCATTGATCACTGAACGCAGTCAGAGACCGCGGCAGCTTTGTCGAGGCGACAGCAAATATGAATGCGACGTGTTTCTCTCGCGACGCGGCGGAAAAAGCGACGGCGAGGTATCTTCCTCTCGTTGTCAAGGCTCAACGGACGAGACGACTATAGCGAGGCCTCGCTATACGGGCCGTCGACATTAAACGAGAACGACGGCACTCGTTTACGAGCAACGTGCATACACTGTTCGCACGTGCGTTTAAAACGCACCGTGATCGACGCCTTCTTTGAACGTTCAGACAATTAATCGTTACGCCCACCAGCGCGGAAGGTATCTCGCGCCTGTCCTCTCACGCGTGGCGATGAGACTAAGATATTCGCCAAGATATGGGTACCATGTATTCACCGTGTATTAATCATTCGCGTGTCTGGATGTCCAGTCGATAGAATCTAGTAATATGCAGAGTGGTAGTAAAAATATAGGACTGTTCATCAGAATCGTAAAAAGATATCGAAAAGTACTTTACCACTTTACAATTGGTAGCTTGGTTATCTAGGTAGAAGCGATCGAAGTCGAGGGACTCTTGGCGCGCGCTGTTTCGTGGAGCTATCAGCTGACCGCAACGCATGCGTACTCGCACACGAGACACTTTGATTGCTTGTAACTCGATAACGAAGCCTGTGGTTGGTAAATGGAAGAGGACTTTCCGATTTAAACTGTCAGGAAAAATTAAACCTAATTGTAACTCTCATCGTGTGTTACTTTATTCAAGTTTTAACAACCACTTGTATTCAAATGATTAACTTGGGGATGGAGAGAATGGGTGGGAATGGCTTGCATTTCACCGCTACAGGGAAGAGTGACGTTAAAATTATACTGCGCTAAAGTTTTGAAAACGGCTGCGTCTACTCTTTGACCGCGGAATGGCTCGTACACGCGTGCATTCACATGAATGCAGCAACCCGTTGCACGCACGTCACCTCGAAACAAAACGCGTCGCCGTCGACGAGCCACGCGGCCGCGTTGGTCCGCAACCATGAAACGCTGCAGCTTACGTCCCCGGTAGCTCGCTGTCGTATTATAAATGCGCTCCCGTGGTCGATGAATTGAGCGTCGGACAATAAATGCTACGCGCTTTGTGCGCTCGTACGAAACAAAGATATATTCACCGGAGACGGGGCGGCGGGGCGATTTTGTTTTAAACGCGACTGCGAATGGACGCGAGTCACGCCGCGTCGTGAACTTCGACGTTCCGTTGAATGTTATTCCGCGTCCTTTAACCCTGCGTCTTCTCGCAAATAGAATCAAAGTTTCGTCGATGTCTTTCAGTCAGCGTCGCCGAGGCTGAAAGACCTCGGAAAGTGTCGCTAGTCCCGTCGAAAGTTCTTCGAGGTGCTTTTAATTGCTACCCAGTGAATGGAGTTTGCCTGCGAAATTGTTCCGTGGTTGGAATTATGAATCTCAAAGGATAGAGAGGATTGAAGATGATCCTCTGTATACAACTCCGCTTCGTCTGACATGTACCGAATAGTTTTCTGATGGAACGAAGAAATCCTACCAAAACGGAACACGGAATGGCAAGTAATTTAATTTAATGTAAAAAGCAGCGTACAGTGGCCGTTTTCTTTGCAACCGATAGTCGCGTCTGGTTGGTCGTGATCTGACGTTGGACGCGAAACGGGGGCGGCATCGAGGAGAGAAAACTAGGGTATTGGCAGCGCGAGAGAAACCTACGTGTATCGCGCATTGTGTTGCCGTGGAACAAACGATTCGCGATAAACAATTCCTATTACACGAGCACGCGAGCAGACGTTTTCCACGTTTAAGATAACTCGCAAACGGTTCCTGGCGCGAGACAACAATGAGTCTATTCAGGATTCACGGTGCCCGCGACACGGGCTTTCACATTTTAATACTTAACGGTGTTCGTGGGAAATGAATTTCCACGTTTACGCCGGCTTCGCTGAATTGGATTACACGGCTGCCTTTGCGCGCGTTGCGTTTTGTGTAACGCGAGGCGTCGACGTTCCCAACTCTTGTTCGACGCCATTGCAGACCTCGAGCCGGATGACAACGATGCTACGATGTTTGTGACAGGTATCTTCGGGGAACGTTTGCGCTAATGGGTTTCCATTGGCGCGACGCATCGATAATAGAGATCACAGTTTTGAACTTCTATTAAAATACGCGGACACCCAGATATAGAAATACACGGGTATCCAGGTAAGTACACGTGCATCGAAATACACGGGTACAGTATCCAATTAGTTTGTATACAAACTTTTATGTAAAAAAAGTTTTTATCCAAAAATAATGATACTTATTAATTAAAAAGAAAATACAATTCGATACAACATTTATGTCACGCTGCTGATCGGACGTTTGTAATAAATTATGGGTCGAGGATTTATTATTAAAATTAACACGATCAGGGTTACTTGAAGTATTTCAAACACAGAGGTGTCCATCTGAGCGCTTGGAAGTATGAATTACAAGACTTACTGGAGAGGTGAGGTATTCTCATGCATGCACAGTGAAAACATCGTACGAACACGTAAGCTGCAATAGGTACGTGGAGATTAGTATGTGTCGCTGTCCTCACCACTTCACTAGATGGCACGGTAAATTCTGATTTCTAGGAGCTTAGACCGGATATCTCTGCTCTATACACTTTCGACCACACTCACCCTCTGCCACTTCAAAGCACACACGTTCCCAGCATTACCACTTCCGAACCTTATCAGGAACGGTTTCCTCTCGCGAAACTCATTTAAACCCGTATATAGCGCGCAAACTTTGTTAGAATTGTACTATTAGGTACGCCTCGATTCGGATAAAAATAACCACTCAAAGGTGTTCTTTTTTTTTTGTCTGTTCCAGGTGGGTTCGCTGGATTAAGGGAAAATTTCGTGGCGGTGTCGTCGGAGCGAGCTGATTCGATAGGTAACGACAAACTGAAATCCCAACCCCCAATCGATTGTGCACGCTACGCGGTTCGAATCCACGAGTTTCCTCTGAAACAACATCTTGATTCCGCTGGCAGAGGATCGAGCGCAGTTACACAAACGTGTCCTCTGTAGGCTTGGTTTACACGCGATAACGTGAACCGACCTCTGCGCTGATTCCATGGCCATGGTTGACCAAGTCTTTGATTTCGCTGCGTAAATGTGGCCGCACGTGTTTGTCCCCATGATGACAGTAGTAGCAAGCATTTCCACTGGTCGAGTAGTCTAAGACAGCCTTTGACAAAGATCGCGTTATAGAACACTTCGTAAATGCGTTAAAAATAGTGCAAGGCTTGTTTTTCAACACTGATCACTGTTACGAATGACAAACTCATCAGACTGATATCGCGTTCGGCGCAATCGACGGCAGATGATAGAGTGTCATTTTACATTGAACTGTTTTGATACCTGTACCTAATGGCATTGGTATTGATTACACTAGCATATATGTATGTTCTGGGTATCAATTTTCCGATACTTCTGTAACGAGTATTAATCAACAAGTGATACTGTATACGAACGAGACTCGATGCTGTTGTTATAACATGATTTTCTACAGAAAAACGTCGATAATACGATAGATTTGGGGATGCTTCGTCGAGGTACCATAACGATTAAATGGATTCGCAAAGTCGACGTCATCGAGTCGCGATTTTTGGCGACTTCCCGGAGCCCTGCAGTGTTCGCTTCGGGGACGAACATTAGTCTAACTCCTCGGCTCGAGAACTTTGCTTTTAGCTCGGGACGACTTTCATTGGACGCGCACTCGGCTGGGAGGAAAACTCGAAACACTTTCTTGATAAGTGGATGTAGTTTCGCGGAGCAAAGTTTAATCAGCATCTATAAGGCGCGCAATTACTGTCTTTGAACCTCGAACGTGGAATTACGTCGGTCATGTTAATTCAGTTTGTTTCTGAAGGGGGCGTGTACCAGCGTAGACGAATGTTTTATTTCAAACAATTCACGTTACTTGGATATTTCAAAGTATCGAGTACGCTATTAGTAGTAATATAAGATTTACGTATTCTTAAGTAACTCAAAAGTTCCCCGTTATATCCCCTGTTATATTCCTGGAATATTTACTCTTTTTATAATTCAACCATTTTATTTTACTACAAAAATAAATGTACTGAAAATATATGAGCCGTTCACTGCACAAATCGATTAACTCCACCTGTTACATAAAAATTGTAACATTACTGACGATTACTTTTTGGCATTTCTTTCTTATTGATGTCATATGCCGTTAGTTGAAAGCTACATCTGTATTTATGTATTCTATAATATTTATGTGAATTTATATTGTAAAGCGAATTTAAAAAAAACTGTGTACATTATTTCATCGCATTTCTCAACTTTTTGTTTCATGGAGTTAAACGATTTCAGCAATGAACGGCTCATATGTACAATGTATATGTAATATATCTGTCACTGCGGAATAAGAAAAGAGGAAGTTTACGCATGACGAAAGTTTAGCTGACTCGTCGAAGCAGTTGGTCGTACGACGCCATCGTACGATAGATTGTATCGTGTATGGGGCGTTTTAGTCTTGACCAGCTCTCTAGTGAAAAGATATCAGCTTATTCGTGATATTTTAGAAATCAAATCAAATCTTTTAATTAATAAAATTAGTATTTTATTATTTCATTATACTCCATTTACAATAGACCCTTTTAAAATTACGCTAGTCACGTTAACTCGATTTGTTTCTGGATCGACGTGTTCGGCAGACCCGAATGTTTTACTCCAGTGTGAACAATTCATGCTGCTTGGACATTTATAAAGTTACGCGAACGAAGCTGTTGCCCATGGTAAATTGAATTCCGAAGGATTCGCAGACTAGCGAAGTTTTCCATACCGGGGGAACGAAAACGTTTCCCTCGAACACGTTCCGATGGAATCGAACGTGTTTCCTTTTATCGGTCGTGTAGGAAACGCAACGGAGCTTCAGTTTATCGTCGCTGTATGACTGCTTCGATAACTTCGATACAAACATTTTCCCTTGAAAGCAAAATTACTAGACCCCGGGGCAACGAAATATTTGCCACCACGATCGAACGTGCTTGCAACCTTCCTGAAAGATCTACGAGTAAATAACACGGTGGAAAGAAGGTCCCTCGAAACCCAGTACATTCTGGTTTCTGTATCTCTACACAGATGGGCGGAAATATGGAAATATTTAGGAAACTTAAGTAATTAGAGCACCTGATGCGATGGTGTGAATGGTATTACCTTTAACCAGAATTTCATACGTGCTTTTTGTTTCTTAAAAGTCGTTAACCCTTTCCACTCGAGGCATTTTTTTCTGGTATCTACCAGCAACTCAAGATGCATTCTTAGCATTCTATTTCCACGAATGCTAAGCATATTGTTCGATTAATTTTGATGATGTAGCCTGATTCGTGATCACAAACTAATTTGAGATTTGAGGATCAGGTAACTTTTACCTCACCGACAATCATTCTATTGACACTTTGATTAAAAAAAAAAATTAATGGTGACCGAGAATCACTTCTCGAGTGCAAAGGGTTAATCCCGTTTCTGGACGTTCACAGATAGGATTATTTAACAATTCTCATGTGTGTATTACGAATTTAATACGTGAACAGATATTTCTTTGACACGTATCGCACAGTTCAAAGGTTTTAGCTGAATGTTAAATTCCTGTTGCATGAATTCCATTTTATCGTTCTACGACTGTTGCTTATCGGTGTATATATAACATAGTAGCACTTGTTATTTCGTGGATGTGAAGAAGACTTGCAGATCAGCTTCATTAACTCTTTGAGGCACACAATTATAAAATAAAAATAAAATTCAAGCTGCACAGAAGTACAGTGTCAAGAATTTCTTCATGTTCACAAATAAGGGTATTCGCCCTAAACGATAGTGTCGGTAATTTTTAAATGTTATGTCCTCAATTGTGGACGCCAGGTCTGAAAGGGTTAAGATGTCGGAGATATAAAGGAGTACCTCATACTCATACCCATCTACACGTTCCCTATTGAACAGTATGTACATATTCAACTCCCCAGTTTCTTATTTCACGTTGAATATTGAAAGTTCTGTTTCAGGAAAAGAAAGCGACTCACAAACAAGCGAGGCTCCACCTTTTCAACTTATTTCGGTCGGTAAATCGCTTCCGCTCTGTCATTGCCACAATTTTCGCTCGCCTCACGCAGCACCAGCTACATTGATCTTGGCCAACACGTTCCCTAATGGAGCGTTAGTGTCACCGCGAGTCGCCTTCCCGTTTAATCCATTTTAGACCCGTGACAATTATCGGTACATTGCCTTGCCTTGCATATTTAACGGCTGGAATAAATAAACCCCTGGACGCGCGTTCGCGTGACTCGCGGGATCGACGAATTTCATTTCCGTGACGAAGAATTGTCCCACAGGCTCTAACGAACCGTGACGCGGAGGGAGGGATATCGTTGAAAACTCGGGATTCTTCGCCGTTGGTCTTTAATTGGATGCCCCTTTAGCACGGGGATCGGTGTCGACTCGAGAGCTTGTTCCCCGTTAATGGGTCTTCTGCTCCTTCGAAGCGTTGTTGATTCGCTGGAGAAATCGCAAATTAGCGCGAGCTGTTATTATTCTTCGGAGTGGTCTCCTATGTTGTTTATTCGTTTTGGACCGGGTTCGGAGCGGTTACGCAAGGCGTCCTCCCTCTGCGCTGCTCCAGAAGACCTCCTTCGGATCAGTCTTATTAAAATAACGCTACGGGTAACGGGGAGATTTCGCTACCGCGGATTTATTAGCGTCGACATCTCCGGTGGGCATTTACATAACGAAGCGGACGGCCCGACTGGTTTATTCTTACAACATTGAATATTAATTTATTCTGTAACTAATATGCAAACTTCGCGTTTCCCCCTCTTCTTGAGTTACGAGCCACTGCCAAGAAGATGTTCATTATTATATGACGTCTAGTTTAATTGGGATCGGTTTAAATGTTTGCCGTCGATGAGGCGAGAGTGGACTCCGAAAAGTGAATTATCGCGTTCGAGGGGGTGAACGTTAATTGTCCGTTTAAATTTGGTATTCAACGTTTACGTGTATAAATTTAAATTCATCGATCGACAAGAAGTTCTTTCATGCGCCATCAGTTTCGTTAAATTATAAATTGTGTTGTCGGTGTTCGTTGGCCTATGGGACAATCTCTGTTGCGCATACAAGACGAAAATAAGTTTAATTGGCGTTTACGCGAATTTAGGTCGACCCTTTTCGGGAAACAGTGTACAGTGGTTGTGCAAAATAAAATATGAATATGATAATCTATGAAACGGTACAGCGAAAACCATTAATATTGAGACGACAGTAGATAAGAAATATGAGTAGGGATGTTTCAGAAGAGAAATAAAAGAATTAAAAATAACAAGATCAGAGCTCCATCATACACCATAATCATCAAAAATATACAGGGTGTTCCAGTTTTTTCCGGCCAAATTTTGCCAGCGTGTTCTACATGCAAAAGTAAGAAGAATATTATATGAACATATGCTCTTAAATGTTTTATTAAGGAGTTATAACTAATAATACAAAATGATAATGAACTGACATTTCCTCGACACAGCGTACTTATATGCCGTAGAAAAGAGAGAAGGGATATTCGCATCACTTAATTTTCTTTTGTTGGCAAAACACAGATTTATTTTGAGAGTTTCAGGCTCTTACAAACACTTTACAAGGATCTTTTACGGAGTTATGGATTTACTAGTGGTCAAGGCTTCAACTAACTACGCTTAAAAAAATTCAAAAAAATGACTCCTCAATTAACACCAAGAAGCAAACACCGTACCAGCTGCGACTCTATGGTCATCATTGCACTCGAACGCAGGATGCAGTGAAAAAGAAATGCAACACGTGGTGAGTTTGAAAGGCGAGGCAGAGCCCATAGAAGGAAGAAGAGGACGAGTGTTGATTAAATATGGACCCCCGCTTAGTCCAATTCGTTCGCAGGGACGAATGCCGTCGGTAGCAGCTTCCCCATTCAGCGGGATTCGTGCATTGTGCGGGAGCCTTAAGCAGGTTAAATATTCAAGGCACGCGCAGCTGCTGCTATCCGTGTGCTGCACGTATGCCGTTCGTCTTATCGCATCCCCAAAAACAACTCGATGGACGACTACTCGCGGTGACTCCACGCGAAATTCTTTGCGGTCACGTCCACGCTCGTTTGTATCGAAATTTATGCCAAACTGGTGATACCAACCATGTGGCCAACCTAAACGT